ACTTACAGTCCTAAAAACTCATTCTGAGCCTTTAACAGGATAAAGAATAAAAGGTTTCATTACTTACAGTTGAACAGGACAAACAGTAAACTGATAAACCTAACTACTTTCAACAACAGACATGAACAGACTCTAGAGAGGGGAAAAGCACTGAGTAGGGTCCTTGAATTCAGAGGCAGGGAAAGAATGATTTGGCTAGTGCTGGGCAGATTGACAAGTCACCCCAGCCCAGAAAAGTCCTTCCCGACAAACCTACTAAAAGCAGTATGTGGGGTTGCAAAATAAAATAAAATAAAATAAAATAAAAATCCAACAGATACTTTGGTTAAACTAAAATGAGATACTATGAAATTGTCTCTGTCAAGAATGGAAGATAGTTATTTGAACTGCCAAATTGAAATATTTTTTTTTACACAATATTATATTGTGAACAAAAAGCATTGCAAGTTGGCAATGTCAGTACTGGAAGAGCAAAAACACCAAACCATGATGAGTGCTTAGCCAATGCGCATCTTTTACCATCAGACCAATGTGCACCAATTGTTTCCACTGCTTGCATAAATGGAACAAACTCAATACTGTATGAATTTGACAATGAGCAAAATCACAACGAGCAGATGAATAGATAAAGTCAACACTGAATTTAGTGACTCATGGGAATTGTTAGATGGACTACACTGTTTTCTGCTTCTCTGCAGGAATTCTCATTGGCACACAAAGTTATATGAATGTACCAGATATCGAAAGATAATTGCTCATTCATTCTTGGGCTAGTGTAACACAACCAGTTACTTAAGTAAACAAAATTAGGCTGTAGGGCTTTCATGCCCTTTTCTGCTATCCTCTCTCTTGTTCAGTGTGAACTCCCCAAGCAGAGACTGTGGACAAACATATGGGCAGCCATTTTCAAGATAATTAGGGCTACTTAGGTTGCAGCTCATTGAGTAAAGTACCTGGCTGTGAAGCAAGAGGCTGACAAAACATCAGAGCTCACTACCTAGACAATCATGGAAAGGGTCACCATAAGTCAGAATTGACTTGACAGCTTATAATAATAATACTAATAATACTAATACTAATACTAATAATACTAATACTAATAATACTAATACTAATACTAATACTAATACTAATACTAATACTATTATTATTATTATTGTTGTTGTTGTTGTTGTTATTATTATTATTATTA